TGCAATTTCTTCCATGTCCGTACATTGTTTATCGCATATCGCATTAATCATTAATAAATGTAATGGAGTGTAATTATCACTATCATTTACGATATCGAGCGACTTCTCTATAATCCACTGGCGCGTAGACACAGCTATGCCCAGATTCTTGTCTGTGTTCGTAACCAAGTAATTGTTACGATCCAAGAATTTTTGAATCTGGCTCGGTTTAGGGGCGAGCGCCGTTAAAGGCCCGTCCGATTCCGCTGGGATATTGGCGATCGTGTCAAACACGAAGCGCTCTCCCGCAGCGATGCCAGCTTCAATATACTGTGGTGACCTCGGTGCCCGTACGTTGCGAGACTTGGGAATATCGAAGTCAGGATCATAAAGATCGTCGTCTGAGTTGTTCTTAGTAAAGCTAAAGTAAAGCCTCCAACGGAGACGTTCTTTGAAGTCTTCCCACGCTGACTTAATTAAGTCGGTATTGCGGGGGGTATAAAACATATATTTCATACCTACTGAGAGCTGAATCTCGATTTCTTTCGGGATAGAGACACCCGGTGACTTATGTACTGAATTACGATACTGAGCCGCCAATAAAATATCAATAGGCGTATGTAAATGTACAAAATTTAAAGCTACCGGATATGGTACTGTGAGCAACCAGTCGGGATACGTAGCGGCAATGTCATACCTGAAATTAGTCGGGGTGCGCCCAGCGACTACTACTTCCCTGCTCTTCCCTTGCCCTTGTCTTTCGGCTTCGGGCGACCACTGCCCCCAGGCTTCGTTGCGTCGGGTACTTGTCGACGCGCCTTGGGTATATACTTGGGGGGAGGCGGATGCTCCGACCCCGTCGTGATCTTCTTGCCGGTCGAACTCCGCGACTTCTTGCCACCCTGTACTTGTCTCTAAGTAAGGAGTCAGTGAGAGTTTAGAAGAGGGATAAGGGAGGGTTCGCACCACACTCTTACGGCCCGGCTTCCTATCGACCTGCTTAAGGCGAGCGGCGACTGCTCGATCGACCATCGATTGAATCGAAGGGCCGGCCCGAGTGGCATCAGCCATCTCTACATCCGCTGCCTTTGCTAGTGCCTTCTTTCGGTCTTGTTTCGCCGACGTCGCGTGAGAGGCTAACTCCACAATGGAGATTACCCTGAAGGCGTACACCACGACGTCGGCCAGCAAATTCTTGCATTCCGCGACCTTCTGAGCGTCTTCCACCCAGGTGAGCCCCTCTACTTTGTTGTCGGCGCTGAACTTGATGTTGGCAACACGACGGTTGCGCAACACTACCTGTCCGTGCTCAATAACGATCGGCGAGAGCCTCTCGTACAACTTTTCGGGGGTCAATGCCGCCTCCAGGAACCTAATGTCATCCCGCTTGGCCGCAAGGGCCGAGTCGAGGAGACCAGCGAGGTACGCCTTGTGAGCGTCCTCTAGGTTTTTACGATGCATCAACGCATCGGGGGAGGAGCCGAAGTCCGCGGTCAGCTGGACCTCGGGCGCTTGCCGAAACAAGTGCGCAGGCATGGTCCCGGCCTTTTTATGGGCCTCCCACTTGACTAGAGTGAGCCGGGCCGAGCACAACTTGTTAGTCGTGCCGGCGATGCCACGAAGTGGCTCCCGGAGGACCTCGACGAAATCACCAGGGATTAGGTCGATGAGACCGTCCACCGTTCGTGCGCCTTGAAGAGCGGCACGGCGGGCGACAGCCGCATGGTCGGACTGAATGTCCAACCCACCAGCGACGCTGAATACGTCGGGGACGGGGGAGAGGGCGCGGGCTACAACGGAAGCTATCGACGACATGCTTATAGGTAGGGTAGTTCTACACCGTCATAGCAATGGTAAATACTCGTAGATAGGGTTAGGACGGTGTACCCCCTTCGGCGAAGCCGTTGGGGGTACACAGTATGAGTAAAGAATACTCACCTCAAAAGTGTTGAGGTTTGCGTGTATGCTTGTTACAAGCGTAAGTCCTTCGCCGTCGCAAAGCAGGCGGCACGGTTGGACTGGTTAGTACTCCGATGCATTAAAACACACCGTCTGTCGCAGAAGGTTGGCACACACCATCTTGCTAGGGAGTAGGCTGGGGGAAACAGGAACCCCAGCACGACCCATGCGAGTTCTGTGGTGGACTCATTCCGCCGGCACGACTTCTCACCACTCAGGGAAGGGGGCCCTGGTGTGGCTACGTCCGTCAATACCTCGTCTCGCGATGTGCGCAACTACCCGTATGGTGGTTACCAACTCCGTGGCGAGCATGATCCCGCCGGCCCGAATTACCGCGGCACGGCGAAACACCATGTCGGAACACCCGACGGGGGACGACCCGCCCAGGTGGAGTGGCACCTGCCTCCGGTACGGTCCGCCTACAAAGCTGCGTCAGTATATCTGGCCAGTCGGTCAAGTACTCGGTAGGCTCTCGCCGACTCCCTTGATGCGGTGGGGTAGCCGGTTTACAACCTGCCCACACCTTTCGGTGCTACATAGACTATATCTTAAGCATGCGTCGTCGAACGGCGACCTCATAAGGGTCAAACCTGTCCTCAACATGCCCACT